TCAGCTTCATAGTCCAAAACTAGAAAATCGGCCGGAAAATAAATTTATCGACTTGGACCAAAATATCCTCAATTTTACCCTTAGGATACGCAATGGACCTATCGGCCAATTGTAAACTCACGGTCGTTGGACGGACTTCACCTATTCCTAGCTTGTTAAAAACTGACAATGGCATAAGATTAAAGCTTGCCCCCAAATCACATAGGGCATGGCCTACTTTTTTTCCTCCTATCGAACACGGGATGGTAAAACTTCCCAGGTCTTTTAACTTGGGAGGAATTTTACAAGGAGCGCACTACATTCTTTGGTCAAAGCAATCGTTTCAAACTCGTTCAACCTACTCTTTTTATGCAAAATGTCTTTTAAAAATTTAACATAGCTTGGCATTTGCTCGAGAGCTTCTACCAAAGGTATGTTGATGTGGAGTTGTTTAAAGATGTCCAAAAACTTCTTAAACTGCTCATCCACATTTTTGCTTTTCATTCATTCAGGAAAAGGTAAGTTCTGCAAATCTGGAGCTGGTTGAACATATCTGGTCGGTTGGACAGTGGGCACAATCTTTCCACTGTCGGGTTTTTCAACAGAGAGTTGCACATTACTGGAAATTAAAACAGGGACTGTTTTCTAGACAGAAACAGATTTTTGAGTTTCTTCCGTGGAAAGACTCAAAATTGGAAAATTTGACATATCAAACGCGTGTGAAACCTCGTTTTGATGTGTCCGTTCTTCGACGGTTTCACAAATATCATCATTGACTTTTGAACTCTCCTCACTCAACACGGTCACGGCTTTGATATGTTCTTTACCCTTAGGGGTTTATGTGTCACTAGGCAAAGTTCCTAAAGGTCTACTCTTGAGATCGGCAGCAAATTGGCCGAGTTGGGTTTCAAAACTCCTTAACGTTGCATTGGTTTGGTTTATAAAACCTTTAAGTAATTATTCGAGTGAACCATTACCGTCCGATGCATTTTGCCTAGGCATGTGTGAGTGTGAGGATTGTCCATTTTGGTAATTGTGCGAAGCACCTTGCCCATATCCCGGGGGATTTTGTAGCCGATTTTGGACTTGAGTAACCCCGGGGGGTTGAAGTCCAGGATTTTCGGTCCAAGAAAATTTGGGGTGATTCCTCCAATTGGAATTATATGTGGGAGAAAATGGGTTATTTCTAGCATAACTCCCAACATAATTCACCGAGACAGGATTTCTAGGGCAATTTTCATAAGAATGGCCCTCACCGCAAAAGACACAAGATTCAGACAAAGGTGGGTTGGACATTATGGATTGAACTTGATTATTCTCTCCATTCAAACGTAAATTGTTTTTAACCAAATTAGTTGAAGTAACAATTTGATCATTTAAAGCAGAGATGGCATCATTTTCATGGATACCTGAAGCAGACTTAGAAACAACAGCACGAGGATTTGACCATTCTGTATTATTATTAGAAATTCGTTCCAGAATGTCATGTCCTTCGTTGTAAGTCTTAGCTGTGAACGCTCCACCGACCGTTGCGTCAAGAATAATTTTAGCGGAACTGGAGAGGCCATTATAAAATGTCTGCAATGAGGGATTCCGTGATAAAGACATTTCCGTAGAAGGTCCTTAAATCTCTTCCATGCATCCGAAACCGCTTCATCTTCTTCTTATCGAAACGTCATAATTTTATTTCTAATTTTTACATTCCTCGTCGGAGGAAARTATTTTTTCAGAAATTTTTCCGTCAAATCATTCCAAGTTAGGATCGAGTTTGGTCGTTGAGAATTTAGCCATGCTCTAGCTCTATTCTTCAATGTGTAAAGGAAAAGCGTTAAGCGTAAGGCTTCTTGTGTAACTCCAGGAATTTTAAAATGATCCGTCATTTCGATAAAAGATTTTAAATGAGAGTGCGGATCTTCCGACGATAATCCCCCAAACTGACCCATTGCGGAAATCATTTGGAACATTACGGGTTTTGGTTCAAAAGTGTGGCTGTCATTTCGGGCCTACTGTTGGTCCCAAAAGGGTCTACAAGATAAGAAACAGTTTGTAGAAGGGGGGGATGAATACAAACACAAAGTTTTCAAAYTTAAAATATATATTGATAGAGAAGATCAATACAGATTTTACAAGATTGTTTGCGGAAAGATAAGGTATAGGAAACCTATCTAAACAACATTTGGTCACACACAGAGGTTTAGCAAATACAAGAAAAGAGAATGCTAAAAGAAATATCTTTTACTTAAGCTAGAAGAA